TTGTTCTCGTGTATTGGCACACTTTACAGTGTTATCGAACGCCCCTCGTGCGAGCCAGCTCTTCAGTGCTCTGTTTTGAGTAGGCTAAAGCATGATGCACATGTTCGCATGGGTTCCACACCTACACTGTCGCCAAAAGGTCAACTAGTCAGGACGTGACAAGTGAACAACATGTGTAGGCGTAAAAGTCACCTCCTGAATAAGAGAATTTGTGTTGCGCAAGATCCATTGTTGTGTATTCATAGTGTTGTATATTGCGTGACCCCATATCAAAAGGTTGCGTGTTCAGATCATGTCGGGATCACCAATCTGTGGCGCCTAAGTACTGGTTGTACTCAGAGCAGTACAGTCATGAGATCAAGTCCCAGGTGGTAGGTGAAAGCCAGAAGGCACCACAGTGAGGAATTTGTTGTGCACAAAACCGTGAGTTGTTGTCTCAAAAAGCAGTGACCACTGGCGAAGTTGGAGTCAGAAGGTTGCGTGTCCAGATCACGTCGGGGTCACCAATCATCGAGGGCTAGTTGTTGCCTCGACACCAGAAGGATCCCAAAATCATAAGTCTGGGAAGACGGAATTAATTAGAACAACTTTACTGAGCTCAAATAGCTTTACAGTAGCTGCTGCAAGCGCCGCGTACGGAAACCAGTTGAGTCGATGTAAAAGTGTCCATGCGCGCGGGTTTAGCGAAGCTTGTCCAGTCATCAGTCAATCAGGAAAGAGTGCAGGTGTTGGCATCAGAGCTCGCGAGGAATGGATTAACTTCGGGCGAAGGCGCGTCGACAACGGGGGCGCGAAAGTACAAGAACGCGCGGAGGTAAGAGGATGAGTCAGCGCTGGGCGCGCGGGTAAACAGAGGTTTGGAGGTTGAGAAGGAGATGAATACGCCCAGCACTACCGAATTCAGGCTGCCAAAAAGTCATTGTCAGCGTTGACTGCGTCCAGTTATGCCCGAGAGAAAGGGCGCGAGAGAGAGAGAGGGTACGACAGCGGTCGCAGCTGCTTTCATGTGCTTGTAGAGCAAGTTCAGGTATTGTCCAATTGGTGTGTTGCATTGCCCTAACGGGTATCGAGTAAAGAGACTACCCATGCTGCTTCGGCCGACAAATGGCGTGTTCAAGCAGCCTTTAAGCAGTTGCGACTGTCTAGGCATGCGTGTGTGTGTGTGCCTGAATGAAAGTTGGTCAAGGGTTCGTCTGTTAGCGAGTCGGAAACTGCTGTCTGCGAAGTTGAATGGGGTTGAGACAGTGGGCATTGAAGGAGGAGGCCGGATAGCACTTTTGACTGTCCTTCACAGATGGTTAAAGTGTCCCAGATCCTCAGATTAATTCATACGGCGAGCCGCAGATGTTTTTCACAGTACAGTAGTCGCCGGTTTTTAAGCCCACGGTTAATAGGCCTAGCCACGTATTAAGCCCAAATCAGCTTGGGACGGAATTTTACATAGCAAAAT